TTCGGTCAAAGTGAATGTGCTTATATTGAGAAAGCACTTCTCTTGGTATTAAATGGGTTGGAAAGAAAGTAAGCCTCGCATCGTCGTCGCTCGGCTCGGCTTCGGATTTGGTCAACGATTGATTGATTAATCTTTAAGGACAAAATTTCTTTCAATAATTTAATTAATTAACAAAAATTCAACCCGGAATAACCCAGTATCCACGACGCGACCCGGTCCGTTTCTTTCCTGAATTATTTTAAGTCTTTTTTTCGAAATATTTCAAACGTAAAATGTTCCCACCTGTTCCAATAGCCATGGATATTTCTGAAAGGTTGCAAACCTTTTCAAAAACAGTGCCAGAAAATGACTATAAATATGTCTTAATCCCAGAATCTTTCCATACGAAATATTCTGATCTTCTTGTTCTTCAGCATAAAATTTTTTAGTGTGTTTTACAACTATTGAGTGGTTCGAATTATGGTACAAATATACTGGTGAGTTAAATCGTTCTATTCTACGAAGATATAGTTCCAGCACCTCGGGTACTTGAGGAGAATAATTTCCTTAAGGATACACTGTGCATTCAGTGGGCTTGATTTATTCCGAAATTATTTTTCAGATATTATTTCGACATTCTGTTGCTGTTAACTTTCTGTTTCTGTTTCAGAAAGTTTACTGTTTCATTATTCATTATAGCAATACAGATTGAATAACAATCACTACCTCAGTCTTTCTCTCGTTCCAATTTTATGTTTTTATAAAGGTTCTAGAGAGGCCCCTAAAGAAAATAGTAGAATACAATTCCAATTAGCGTCACATGGAAAGAGTTTTTAGTTAAATTTGTACTTTATGTAGATCTATTTTTGTCCTTTAAATATATCCCTGGCATATTTAATCCCTTAAGTTTATTAAAATGGAGCATCTTTAGTTCATCTAACATGAGATTAAAAACTAATGGTGAATACCCACATTGATAATTGGCTTAATGTATGCATATTTTGATGTATATTGCCTCACATTTTGCTCATATCTCGTAGATTTGAGATGTATAATATAATGATTTGTGCTAATTCGTAGTATTTCTATGTGTAGGAATCATTCGGATATAATTTGGAACGAAAGTGCGCGAATTGGAGCAGAAATAGGATGAAAAGGCAAAAATAAAAATTTGAGGGCCACAGGCAGCGTGGGGCGCTGCCTGTGGCGCACTTTACAGACGACTTGAGAAGTTGAGCTCCAGGGCCAGTGATCACGCCCAACTATGCCTTGTAAAAAAAGACTCTGCGGACGTTGCAAATATAACCCGAGTATTACGCCCAGGGTCGAATCCACAGAGAGTTAACCTATCAACCACTATCTTCAGACCCACTAATTCTTCAGAACCAGCTTCCCAAGTATTCAAATCTCAGTTGAGTGTTCTTTAACGACTAGCTTGCAAGTAACTAACTAGCTGTAAACTAAACTGATGAGGTTGTAAACAATTATGAGGAAAAGCTAAGGCAATGATTTCCCCTATTGATGGACTCCCTCCTGTTTATGCTCATACAAATTTACCCACTCATCTCTATCAATCTTGAACGCTAATCTTACCGCAAATCTCTCCCGAGTAATCACAGTAATCTACTATTGCACTCTCCCGAGATACACTAGCTTGCTTTATTTAGCACACTTCAATCTAGATTGCACCCAAGACTTCGTTATTCCTAATCCCGCCTGTAAACCCGAAATTATAGATTCCTCTAATAATCTAGGAGTGGTGTTGTTCAACAATACCCTAAATATGCACTCTTTTCCAAGTTATGCACACTAAATAGGTACAGCTAATTGAGGATCCTGTCAATTAACTACAACGAACACGAAGTTGAACAAATAAAGATTAAACTAGCAATTTGTATTCACATAAACAAGAAGTTCATCACCCAATAGGTTCCATCAAAGCCTTAGACAAGGAATTTAGCTACTCATAGATATGGGAGAATAAACTACGCTTGAATTCATCATAAAAATCAAAAGAAAGGAAGAAAGATGTTTAGAGTACTTGCTCACAATTGTTTTCCTTGCTAAGAAACCTAAAAAATCAATACATGCCTCTCTTGGGCGAAGTCTAGTGTTTTAAATAGGGTTTAGGTCTAAAAATCCCGTGTTTTACACTTTGGTCCCCGAAGTTTCTGTGTCCACCGCGGTTCTACCGCGGTCGCGGTAGAACCGCGGCCAAACGCCCTCGCGGAATCTTCAACTTTCAGAAACTGCCTTCCACCGCGGTTTCACCGCGGTCGCGGTAGAACCGCGGTGGAACCAGTACCCGGAATCTTGGCCTGTTTTGAATGAGATACTTGGGAAATTCAACAATTGGCCTTTTTTCATCAATAGTTGACTCCAAAATCGCTCCTTAGCCTTCCTTACACCTATATCACCTGCAAATCATGAAAAGCACTAATAAGAGCATTTTGTTGTCATTTTTCCACATTAAAAGTTCACAAGAAGGTGATTATTTGGTGCGTGATTATAGTCAAATTCACCTATTATCA